TGCGGCAGGTATTTGTTTTGTAGGTAGGAATGAACATTTTGGCCCTGACATGCTCAAAGTTCATTCTCACCCTAGGGGCCTAGGGCACAAAGTATGGTAATCGGGCAGAAAGTGTGCCCACGACCTACGGGTGCAATACTGCTCTCTCCCTTGATACAAAAAATGTCGTTTTCACCTCGGGTACAGACATACAACAACTGCACCATTCGGCCTTCGGGCGTGCAAATTGTACTCTGTGCCCTAGATAAGAAATATACTATTGTTCGTAATTTCATCAATATATTTACTGAAGCTTATAAATAAAACGAATTTAATTTCACCAATTTTCTAATGGATTAAAAAAAAAAAAAAAAAAAAAAAACCATTAACCTTGCAACCGTTAATTGAATTTTAATTAAATTTTACAAAACATGCCACGGATCAAAGTATCATGGGAAAAAAGTTCAAGTTGTTCTGTTTTATGTAATCGTATGTGAGTGTATGAGTGTATGTATATGGATCCGCTAAAACAGAGGCGCGAGAACTTGCACGTGACGCGCCAGTAATTGAAATTCGTCGGTGGAGCGATGACGTCGTGAAAAATCTCATTTGCTCATAGGAGAGACGGGCACGAGGGTAGTTTTGCATTATACTAATGCAGCTCAACGAGTTTGAAGCTCGATCAATGGCCCCGTCACTCGTCATACGCTCTACATTAAAAGTAAAAATTTCCTAAACAGTCCTTCTCAGCTCACTTGAAGGTATAATAAAGTGTTCGAACGAGCTCTCTCGCGTCTACCAGAATTGCACCTCTGCCATATATTCCTGAGCTACTGTTTCTTATGTCCTAGTTCATTTTGCAGAATCACGGAAGGAGCGATGGGGGTATTACAGTTCAAACAAGTAGGTGTAGTACCGCCAATTACTCGTTGAACCGTGGTCGCGCATGAAAAGGTGCTTTTTAGTTTTTGCATCATAATCCTGACCCTCGCAATATCCTTTTGAGCTGGTGATTCCTGTATAATACGTGCATGTCCTTTAACGCCATTGTTGCAAGGGACCCATATAGGTGTGTATCCAGTCTCGAGGCCGCAAGCTCATCCCGATCGCAGTGCTGTTTGATGCTGGTCGGATCGGTATGTTCTGCCCTCTACGGATCGGTATAACCAGTATCCTGCCGATCTAGCTCGAGCTACGTATATACGTTTGCAAACGATAATTTGATTGTTCGGCGAGGGCACCGGTGGATGGACGGCATGGAAATGCGAGCGGCTGGCTCGATGACGACGATCGGGCTTGGGGTAGGCTTTTTGAGGATCGTCTGTTGGCATCCCTGGCCTATATGCGCGCCGGCTAACTCGATTGTTTCTATGTCGGAGTTGCGAACGAGGCTACGTGTCGTGCAAGGGAGCTCCGAGTTCCGGGGATTAATATCGCAGCTTCGAACGAAAATTTTATTCTACCGTTTGTGCTACCGATCGTTACATATGTGTATATCTCCATGGGCCCGCACACGTGGAAACCTAGATGTATATATATTTTATCCTTTTTGATTAGGTGCAGATTTTCTGGTAGCCTCTCGTAAATTTAAAGATTCCTTGTTTAATGATTGTGACACATACACCTACTTTACGTTTGCCGGTGAAATAATTAGTCACCTCATAATTAAGTTTTTAGTTTCTTTTCATAATAAAGTCTCAAACTTGATTAAAAATTTATTAACCAACTTTAGAACGTGGGGTTGAAAAGCGGCAAAATCGTCTGACTAGTACCTACACTGGGCTCCAGTAAAGACGGATCGGGTCTTAAGGCGGTCGTTAAGCTCTTTACAGTACGTGCCGAACTGCACTACATCATGTATATCGGCCATTTGGTGGTCTTCGGTATATTATACGTCAGCTCTACTCCTCCTCGAGTAGCGGCACAAAAGTTTTCATCAACTTTACCAAGCACCCATCAGCAAAATATACAACTCCATTTTTTGAAATTCTGCTGACTACTTGTTTATAACATCACTGGTGAAATTCTCTATTTTTTTGTTATTGTTTTGTTACTTATTTTCCGTATAAAACTTTAAGTATACCAACTCCCATGTCTCTGATACCAATATCAAAATTTTGGCCCATCGTGAACATCAATATCAAATAAGTCTAGAATTTTTTTGTAAACCTACAGTATGAAGCATCTCTACGTTTAATCTATCAGGTGTAACAGACAGTTATACTTTACGTCTACCAACAAGAAATATCCTACCACTTTTGTATATTAGTTTCGTTCGAGTCATTGATTCATCGGGAGTATACACTTTTAAGAGTTTTTTCGGTGCTCTAAACACTTATTAAACGCTCCTGCTACTGGTTTTACAAGGAGTATTTTCAAACGTTAATTCAAATCCGTATTCCGTGCACTAGGATCACTTACGGATACTTTAACAGCTTTACCGTGGGTGAAAAGGTAGGGGTAAAATGAGAAAAAAAAAAGGAAAAAAAGGAAAAAAAGAAAAAAAAGAAGCTGCAGCACGAATCACTCGCTACTCGAGCGAGAGCTTCACCATCATGTACACACCCACGTGCACACGTATGTGCTTTTAACGGAATAATCCGACTGCACGGGGCTTGTCCTTTTTTCCCACAGGTGGTAGGGGGTGCCTTTACGTTTCCGTGGCTCAAAGGGATTCTAGGCTTAATTAACGAGACTTTCCCTCTTCTTTTTCTTCTTCTCCACTGCAAACGTCACTACCAACCGGATAAGACGACTCCACTGCGCAAGTACTTACTCGCACGTGAAAAGATTAATCAAACGGCGAGTCTCGTCTTTTTTACTTTACACCGGTCTGACTCTGCTGTGGGACATCAGCCTTGGTTTGACAAAACGGTGATTCTCTTTACTTCCATGGCCTTCAGCGTTCGCTCGTATCACCGAACCGGAGTGGCACGTAGGCATCGCACAATGCAACTGGTATAAGCTAGCTTATGTCGAGGAGGCCTCGGTTTCTCCCTCTGCTCTTTGCATGTCAACTGCCATCCGCAGGTACGCCAAGTCACATATAAATTAATTCGGCTGCGCCAGGAGTAGGAGGAGCACTACCGTATAGTTTGTACGGGTGGGGTGTAGGTGCGTTGCTGCGTCATACACGCCGTATAATGTACGAGTGGATGTACGAGCTCGAGAGGTCGCAGTCGACGGGAAGGGATGACGCGAAGCTCGAGAGACACTCGAAGCCCATGTACACGTGCCGTGTGTTTCTCTTTTTTTTTTCTTTGTTCTCTCGTTGTGTGGTTGCTGGTGTACGAGGGCCCGGACCGTTACTCGTGCTAAATTGATTTTTTATGAGCCCCGAACCCCCGTTACCCGGCCACTGTTGCACGTGGACTCGAGAGGAAACACCCGAGAATGGAGAAAGATAGCCTCGAGGGCTCTGGAATTTTTATTGCGCTACATCCGCTATTGGGCTTTTTAATCATGGATGCCCCCCCCCCCTCAACCTTTTCCCTCTCGTTACGCGCGTACATTACGAGAGAGCATATTGGATTGAGATTTCTTTTTTCTTCTCCCTTCGTGCTAGTGGCATGTAAACGCGTGGAAGTGTTTTTTTTTTCCCAAGCCGCTTCGTTGCTCCTTTTTTTTCTGGGACTTCCTGCACTCGAAAATACGCGTGTGCGACGTTTAAAGTTGGTTGGTTCGCGCTAGTGGGAACCAACGTCGCGCGCGCATGCGGAACTTTTTTTAACTTTAAATATTTGGACTCGGGAGTAAAGAGTGGCAGAACTTTCCGCGACACTGAAACGCTGGATGTAAAAGACTTTGAATGCAAATTACTCGCCCGCGGCTGCTTGGGTTTTTTATTACCTTCGGCGTGTCAATCTCGTTAGTCACGCGTTTTGTGTTAGCCATCGTCACGGAACTTGGATTTGTTTGGTTACGAGAGAGTTTCGCAGCATCAACGTGATTGCGTGCAATTTTTATGCTTTTGAGAACGATACTTTTTTCCATCGAGGCATAAAAAGTTATCGACATTTATTCAAAAATCCAACAACAAGTTTCTACCTGGTTTACAGTACGCCATTGGTTAAATTTGTTTGCCGTTTAATTGCCGTTAAATTGAAAAAATAGTAGCCTCCGGCTGAAGGATCACCTTTTTCATTTCCTACATTTTTTTTTAGTTTTTAACGAGGTTGGTTTTAATTACGCCATACGTTTTTTTCATTTTAAAATAAGAGGAGTCATGCAAGCCCAGGATCCTCATTGTCGTTGGAAACCGTATATATGTGTTTCGAGAGTAATCTGCCTTTTATTCAACGCAAAAAGTACGATACGCACAATGTACGGAGGAAACCATGCTGTTCTCTAGTTGGAAAAATTTAATAAAGGCACTTTGGGATTTTTATATCCTCTGATTCTGATCTTCTAAGTATTCACTCTTTATTCGGTATTGGATCAGTCCCCTTATCGATTTTAATTTTAAACTCTAATTTTTCATCTGTAAGTAACTCATCCATAGTTAAAATGAAAATACTTGAAAGCTGTCGTCTAACAAAAAAATTATGCGAGTGGATCCAAGTCACATGGAATGCTCGCAATAACAATTAACTAAATTGTTTCTTCAGAGTGGACAGTAGTAATAGTTGATGTATAGTCAGGTGCATTTACTTCTTTCAAGCGTAAATAGTGAGTAGATGAATGATCTTAATAAGTAGTAACAGCTGATGCACAGTTATTTACACAGGTTTGTTCCAAAAAGTAAGTAGTAACAGCCAACGTCTAGTCAGCCATGACATGAGATTTTGCTCAGGAGTGGTAAAAGTCAATGTAATGCCAGACTCATTGATTTCTTCAGCCTGCAAGTAGTAACAGTCGATCCATAGCCAGACATTCGGGTTTTCTAATGCAAGTTAGAACAGTACACTTAAATAAGTAGTCAAGTCGAATCACTTTTGTCAGTATATAAGTTTGTTTTTGAATGTAAGTGGTAAAAGTCAATGAATTGTCAGACTTTCATCAGACGGTAAGTAGTAACATCTGGTGCATAAATCGCTTCGTATGTTATCATTGAGGTAAGTAGTAACTGTCAACGTATGGTCGGACACATTATTTTCTTCTTTACACAAGTAGTAATAATTAAGTGAAAGTTTAACTTCAACTATATTAGTTAATTTTAAGTGCAGTAACAGCAAATGTATAAGTAGTTATAGTCAATAGTTGGTCAAACATATTTCTGAATTTAAGTAGTAACAGTTGACATCCAGTCAGTCACGTTAGTTTGGTACAAACGTAAGTAGTAACAGTAAACGCATAGTCAGTCATGTTCATTTGTTCGGAATTTAAGTAGTAATGTATACGTTATGATTCGCAACAAACGTAGTGATAGTCAATGTAAAGTCAGACATCTTTGTTTCTCCAGAACTTGAGTAATATTTGTCAATGCAAAGATACACTGGCTTTTCCGAACGATAGTAGTAACAGTCAACGTACAGTCAGACACCGTATGTCGTCCGAGTATTATACGGTCTGTGGCCTCCTTGTTAAATCAAATGGGTAAAAATAGCCAACGTATAGTCAGCCACGTTCATTTGTTTCACTTACCCCTCACTTTTAATCCCATTGATAGCAAATAAGATGTTTATAAGAAAAAAAGAGAGGTAGGAGTAGTCCAATGCCAGAAAGTACACCGAGCAATAGTTAGTACAGTGACTAAGTGATTCCTTTGCTTAATGCGTCAGCAATTTCAATTTGTTAGCCTCGCTTTTTATCGCACGACGCGAGAACCCATCCCATCGGTCTTAAGACTTGAAGATGCAGCCGCAGAGTATACGGCAACGGTAGCAAGTCGCGACGAATTACCACTAGCTTCCGTCCCGAGTTCCCGAGCCAAGGAGGACAAAGTTCTCCTCCCTTTCTTGCTCCTTGAAAAATTTAGATACTCGGCGCACGAAGTAAAAGTAAGACATCCGCAGTACAGCAGATCCACTCGCTGTTGCTGCTCGGCCGAGATAGCGTCAGTAGTGGTGGAGGCGCAGAAGGGGGCAAGAGGAGACTCCACGAGTGGAATGAAATATAAACAAGGAGGACGAGCCAGGACCCCGGAAAGGGTGCCAGCCGGGAATTAGCATCGCTTTGATAAGCCCCGGCTTTTTGCTGTGCGCGGGTCCCCTTCCACATCCCCTGCTCTCCTTCTCTCTCTCTCTCTCTCTCTCTCTCTCTCTCTCTCTCTTAAGAGAGAGAATCGAGAGATCTTAACGCAGAGCCTTGAAGCTTCCTCCCCGCATCCTACATAATATACCTAGCGATGCAACACAACAATGTCCTTCCTCTTCCCTCTACTCGCATACGTCCCGGTTAGGGAGCCAGAAGAGTCGCATACGGCGTTACTCACCTATAGCAAAGTAAGTGAGAGAGGAGAGACTCGCACCTCCTCTTCCGTATACTCCCGTTTTTGAATGAAAAATCCTATTTCCTTCCTAACCGTGGGGATTCGCTGGCACCCGGCCAATTCCATTTAAAAGCTCTCGCGAAGGCGGAGCCGCTGAGTCGCTCACCTAACTTTTTTCGCGCTCGCCCGCCTCGTATGCACCGCGAAAAGCTTTTCCTCCGCTGTACAACGCGTATACGTACTTACGGTGCGCTTTGTACCGGCAGCAGCAGCAGCGGGGAGGCTCGTCCCTGGACTTACGCCAGTTTGACGCTGCGACGCTAGAAAGAGAGGTGGCAAACTTTTTTAGAGCAAGCGCGTGGACTCGATCAGATGTAAAAAAAAACAAAAAAAAAAAAAAAAAAAACAGGCAAAGATGAGGGTGGGAAAAAGAGTTAGAGAGGCAGAAAAGTACCGAGGCTCGCCCCTGCGCGTATCAGCAGTAGAGAGAGAGAGAGAGAGAGAGAGAGAGAGAGAGAGAGAGAGAGAGATTTCTGAGGGGCGAGGAAAAAGTGCGCCCACTCGCAAGAGGAGTTTCTCCTCTCCCCTACGCTCTCTCGTAAAATTGCAATGTAAGGATCTCACTGCCCTCATCCCTTTTCCGCTCAGTTTCTCTCTCTCCCTTTTTTTTTCATCCATACACGTGTGAGTGCACTTCCGCTGCGGATCTGCTTCCAATGCATCCCCACCTCTTAGTGATTTTTTTTTTTTTTTTTTTTACGTTTTACGCCAACCTTTTTTCTCACTGATGCAGCGTTACACGTGAGCGACTTGTGCGTGTACATGTGTGCAGTGTACGAGTGAGTATACCCATATAAATTAAAAGCTGCGTGTGACATAATAGTTACGGCGCATCACTTACCCCCGTGCACCTCGCAGATGAGATCGAGATCGACGCCTTCCGGGTAAGCTTCCAAGTGCTTGCTCATGTCGCGCCTCTTGGTGTCGTAGATTATCGGCTTTAACGGTGGAACTGAAACGAAAGGAGAAAAAGAAAGGATGAGAAGTGCACACGTATATCTCGAGACGTGTAAGCTGCAGAACAAAAGAGAAAGCTGTGAAAGTCAAAACCGAGCCTTCGGAAAATATTCACTACTTAAGCGGGTATTATTTATCTTAATGCGGGAGAAAAGTTGCTTTTTTTTGCTGCTCTCCCTCTCTCTTGGCTTTTTCCTTTTTTTTATTTATTTATTTTTTTTGTATTGCTCTTCAATGGAAAATATGTGGCTCACGTACATGCGGTAGGTGGTATTTTTTAAACTGCCACAGTATGCACTTTTGATGCACGTTTGAGTTTTGTTTGTTTAATCTTTGGGGTAGTGCAATCGATGGATATTGTGAAACGTGAGCTTGAAATGAACAAGAAATTTTATCATTATTTTTTATTGCAAATTGTAAATCATTCACCTGCAAGTGTATTAAATACATTAAATTTACGGTTTGTATCTGGATAGTTCATAAGCTACTGAAATATAATCAGATAAAATTGAAGAATACTAGAAAAATTCCAAAAGCGTGCAACTAATTTTAGTAATTACATTAACAAGTGGAATCATTTATCATATTAGATTACTGCATTAACAAAATTGTAAGGTAATATATAGAGATACAAAATGTCGGATGCAACGATTTGTTATAATCCATTTAAACTGAACGCAGCTCCTGAACACACTTTCGCTAATAAGAGTTATTAAATAGTTGGTTTCCAATTAAACTGATCTAGATGAAAAACTTCTCCCCTTTGACAAGGAAAGTTTGTGCATTAATTTCCGCGATTTCTACCCGGCAGTGCAAAGCAAAACGATGTTTGCCGAGACATCGCTCGGGAGCGCACCGGGGAACGAGAAAATTATTACCCTAACTGAATAAATATTTTCCAAACATAACGAGCAGGGTTGGCTGGTTGGTGGCGCACTTCAACGAAACGATGTCATACTTGTCGGACGCAACGTAAGTATTTTTTTTTTTTTTTTTAGTTCATTTTCTTCTTTCGCAATTTTTAATTGATATTAAATTCCATCGAAACTTCTACAAGTCTACGGTATAATATAAGACCATACACCAGGCATCGCAATTTACGTTAGCTTTGACGTTAATTTGTCGTGCTGTATATCTAGCGACACAATTTCATGTATTTTCGTACAAGCCCAAATTGGGTTTTATTACGCAACATTCCTCTTCAAATTTCGTACTCAATGTTTCGCAATTGTTTCCCCAGTGATGTTGTAGTTGCACAATGCACCCTGGAACGGTCCAACGAGGGGGCATCCAATACTTTGCAAATTGAGCTTGAAAATCCACGGCTCGTAATTAGGGCTCTTAGCGCGATTGCCGGTCCTTCTATTATTACACCGATGTTATCTTCGACGGACTCCTCCAAGTCCAAAGAGGGTAGGGGGTGCTAAAAACAATGAAATTGGATTCCCAGGGCGGATACACGGGCCGCTGTAAGTTTTAATGAACTTAAGAAACTACAGCCCGGAAGCCATTAGCGTACTTGGTGCCGGAGTTGGGGGGCGGCCGACAACTTTGTTCCACTGGCTAGTCGACAAGGCTCCGGATGTATTTTTCCAAACCCCTGAAACGTTTGCGTTACCGAGATTGCCCCATCTCTCTCTTTTTTTTCCATTCACAAGTGGGAATGCAACGTATTTTCGAGGGAAACAACAACGTTTGAAAACAAGGCTCGACGAGATAGGAGGGGACAGAGAGCCACGCGACGTTAGCAACAAAGAGGCCGGTGGAGATCCGAATAACGGGGAGAAGGGAAGCTCTCGGTATCTCGTTGGTCCAGTTTTTAACGTGACAGCCCACTATCTTCACCGTACGCCATTCCTCGCGCGGTGGCTGTCGTCGGGCGACGCGCGTTTACGTCGGAGAAGATTGCCCGGGGGCTATTGTGTCGATGTCGGAGAGAGGGAGAAGAATAACACGCCGTGCGGGAAGTAGGCACACGGGGATGTGGGGGAGGAAAAAAAGAAACAACCACCAAAAGAAAAGAGTTCGCGCGCGTGTAGGTTTGTATTTTATTCACGGTCTCCGACGTCGAGCTGGCTCTTTTTTTAACTCTTTTTTTTTCCCTCCCTACCTTCGTGTATACTCTTAGTATGATTTGCATACCGGCTTGTGGCGTTTAAAGCTCAGCCGTCCAAGTGCACGTCGAGGTAAATGATAAAACACACACACACAAGCAGGGGATGAAAGGAGAAAGAAGCGCGCATGTACTACATGGAAAAAAGCGCAAAGGGGCTGGCGTTTTCTGGGGTAGAAAATCACACGCAAAAACAGAGGAGACAGACTCCTTTTTTTTTTATTTCGTCATACGTTTTTCGTAATAATTCACCAGCTGTGTTTCCCTTCGTCGCTGAAAGCTCGTGATCGTGACACCAGTCCAAGAGATGGATACGGTGCCAAAGAGAGAAAGAGATTGCCACGGATAGGTGCGGCAGCACTTAGTTTTTCATTGAAACACGTGTGCCCTCTCTCTCTCTCTGTCTCCTCCCTATACGTGTCCTCGCAATTTGACTGAATGCACTGGCACCGTTGCAGCTCTCGTCGAGGTGCCATTCAATCACGAGCTCTTCCTGCTGCTTCCCGCGTTTGAATGAAAAATTTTTATCACCGGCGCGCCAGGTAGTCAAAAAGAACCAAGGGAAAAATAATAGTCGGAAAAAGCGCGCTTCGACGCAGAGATGAGCGCTTGTTTGCTGTTGCGCTTTTTTTCATCTTTCCTCGCTTAACTCGGCCGCTGGATAAATACGTGCCTTTTGCCGAGAGTTGTTAATTTTTGGACAAGCGCGAATCGCAGAGGGCAAACAGTCAACGTTGGGATATCCAATATTTATACGCGGGAATTAAAATTTGCACGTAACATTTCGAAATATTGAATCGTTCGATACCTTATTTAGAACGAAATTTCAGACGTTTACCTCGACTCTGATTATTTGAAGCCTCTCAGCTGTTGCATTTTCCACAAACTAATGGACTCGTAAGTGATTTCAGCTAATGAATTTGTAACATCGGTGAAAGCATCCCAATTTCCATACGAGACTTTAGCTTTCGTTTGCAGCGATGTTTTTCCTATCCAACGATTCACATTACAAAATCAACAAATACCTCGAGCGCCAGAGATCCAACTTTTCGAAGGTACGAGTTTGTTACAGAAATTCAAGCCTAATGCAAACTGGCTCGCGTAGTTCTGGGCACAAATTACATTACCAACTTTCCTCTTACATAACACGGACACTCGAATGCTTCGAGTTGTAATCAAACTGCGCTGCAACGACTCGATCTTGCAGCGAAAACCCGAGGTGTAATGATATTCACCTTCGAACTGCAAAATCCTTACGTTGGGGATTCGAAAAGGGAAAATTCGAGCGTAAATCCCTCCATTAGCGCTCAGGAAGAAAGTACCTCGTTTTCCTCCCAACATCCAGAGCCCCTGCGTTTTCCTTCCCTACCGAGCGACTGTACAATTCACGGCCCCTTGCTCTCTTTCCCAGGAACCAAGACCTCACAGCTATACGCTCCAAAACGACGAGAGACGTGTGGTTTCTCAGCTCGAAGGGGTGGGTTGTGAGTGAAGGTTTTTTCTTAGTCACGCCCGCGCGGGGTAGGCCGGAAAAAAAAACTTTTGCAGAGGTAGAACCGCGTTTTTTCCACTCCCCTTCTTCTCGGGACTGAACAATGAGGGGTTCGTGGAGGGAGTCTCGCACAAGGGGGTCAAGCGGAAAACAAATTAAAGATCGTACGAGCGGAAGAGCGCCGCGCTATGGTTATTCATCGCTTTCTCTCTCTACCCTTTGTTCGGAAGGACGAAGGTGCAGGGTCATGAATATGGGCGCGACGACGTTATGAAAATTAAATAAAAGCAACGCGAAAGAATACAAAAACGCGTTCGCATCGACGCGCTCGCGGGGGGGGGAGGGGGGGATAGGTTTTTGTGTTTGTAAATCGTTTGTATTCATGGACGTGGGAACGTATACACATGCAGTGTCCTTGTTGTTTTATTCCCTTTCCACTTCCCGTCGATCCATTTTGATTTTTGAGCGAAGCCCTCCCTCGGTATACGCGTCGCTGAGGGGCGATATCGCTCCGGCCTCGAAGAAAAATATTCCGGAATATCGATGCCGCGGCAGCGGCGCCGTAAACAATATTTCAATTTCAAACGGGGGCAAGCTGATGAAAGTGGGTGCCACAGGTGCCATTTTTTTTTTTTACAGCTATCGCGTTCGAGGTACCTTCTACGTGTTGCACGAGGTGTATACAGACTGCCGAGAAGCCGACGCGTGGCGTTGGTATTGGATGCATTAAAAACAATGTGAAAAATGCACTTGCACGTCGTAGCAGTGGCATCAGCATCACTTACAGTTTGTATCAGATGGAGAGAGGGAGGAGGTAATTTGTAGATCCCCCCTTAAGCGAAGAAGGAGGGACCAGCCGAGAATCGCAAAGAAAGGAGTGAGAAATAGCGGGCGGGGAGAGTGGTTCTCGCTCGTATACGTAGGTATAGAACGAGAGAGTGAAAAAGATAAATAGGAGGGGGTAGCAATAGCAGCAGTGGAAAAGGAAGGTGGGAGTGGGGGAGGGGGGGGGGTGAAACAAATAACCGGAGAAAGTCTTGGGAAAAGGGGTTAAGAGAAAAGTCAAAGAGTAGTTTGGTGTTTTGGTGCGACCGTGGGGTGTAGAGGTCGGGGAAAAGTAGTAGGAGTGCCGGAAAAACACGAGAGAAGCCGTGGAAAGAAAAATCGAAGGGGGAATAATAGGGAGAATAAAACGAGGTAGGGGGGGGGGAGAGGTCCAGGATCGCGGAATAAATATGTACTAGCCGCGGCATTCGCACACGGTGTGGCTAACGGTGGGGGAAAAAAAGACTTTGAGACTTTGTGGAGCGAGAGGAAAGGATGTCGAGGGAGAAAAAGAAGGAAAACGAGGAAAGAGAAGCCGCTTCCGCGACGCGACACCTATTCCGGC